CGAAGCATATGTATTTGGTTACGTTGGAGTGATATTCGGTTCCGAAACCAAACTTCGAACAGTTGGTGGAAGTCTTCGGCCAGCGAAACTTCGACGCCACCGACGTTGACGCCCTCTCCAGAATCCACACATATGGTAGGGGTGACTGCTCCTCTGTGCTCAACAAAACCATTCGCGACAGGTGCTTCGTAGCCAATAAGAAGGTTTTGGTGGAGACTGTGGCGGAGGAAGTGGTGGAGCTGGCAGAGCCCATTTGAGAGAACTTCTTCTTGTCATGTTTTGAGTTGTCCATGGTTACCTTGGATTGTGTAATAAAATGTTTGACGAAGGTGAAGGATGCAACTTCATCCCATGCGTGTATATGCAGTCGACGAAGGTCGAAAACGAGACGAAGCAATAGAATGTAGAGAGGAGTGAAACATCTCCAGTGCATGCAAAGGAGTTTATGGAGGTGGGTGGAAGATGAGCACCTCTAACAGTTTGTTTGTGATGCAGGTGTTCAATGGTTGGAGGTATTGTGATCGTGGTCGAGGTACGTGCGTGAAGGTGGTGGAGATTTCCAACCTCGTGGAGCGTTGTGTGAGCTACGGAAGGTGGTGGAGGTTCATCAACATCATTGTGTGTAGTTGGTATTGTATGGAAGTATTTGTATTTTTGTTTTCTTTGTTGATAATGAAAGGAGTTTGTGATGAGTTCGACAGTGTAAGTATGAGATGTTAACCAGTTTTGATACAGTTCCATTGTTATGAAAGAGGTGGCTGGGTGGCTGCTTGTGAAGGTGGGGGATTGTGGTGCATCAGGGCAACCAAGTGGTACATTTGAATGTAACATTGAAACTTCTTTTGAAGCTTTGTGTGCATTGTTGAAGCATTTTGTTATATAATAATTTCATATAATTATGTTTGCAGGTTTGGTTTGTTTAAGAGTGATAGTTTTCTTTGTAAATTGACATTTGAACTTAACAACTACACAAGGAGAAATTGCTTATTTGATTAGAGAATCTATGAGTGGCATTACATTGACTAGAAATTTATTGCTCAATCCCCTCTTTATACGTCTTCAAGAGGTAAGTGTTAAACATTCATTGTTTATAATAAATATATGAATCTGTTAATGAGTGGTGGCTATTTGTAGCTTTATGAGGTTGAATATATGAATGCAATGTACTATGTTGATTTAATATATATTAATATATAATATATGAATGTATGAATATATTAATTAACTTTTTTTTTGTCAAAAATATATGTATGTAGTTGATAATAAATCTATGAATCAGGTTATTGTGTTACGTTATTTATTTTTCTTCAATTTTAATGAATATATGAATGTATTAATGTATATATGAATTATGTTTAACGAATATATGAATGCATGATTTTAATTATAGTATGTATATTTGTTTAAGTAAATATAGATGGAAGAAAAAAATAGATTTATCATATTTGGACCGTGAAGATATAGATGATGATGTGGTTGGTGTAGACTTCAATATAGTCGCAACGGTATGTCAACAATTACAAATAACCACTTCACTGGCTGCACTAACAATGTTATGCATTGTTGGACATGCGTTGAGTATCTTAAATATGTACTCGATTGATTCGAGTAGTGTAAGCAATTTCCTACCAGACAGAGACCGTCGTAGGAAGCAATTGATGTCATACCTTGTGCATACTAATCGGTGTCGCGACATTATCAGGATGGGTCCAAAGGCATTTATTAATCTTTGTGAGAGACTAAGAACAACTGGGATAGTTAAGGATGCCATTCGGTCGACAGTGGAGGAACAAGTTGCTCAATTTCTTCATATAATTGGCCATAATGTTAAGAATCGAAGTGTCGCATTTTTCTTTCATCGATCTGGGTCGACGGTTAGCAAACACTTTCACAATGTGTTGGATGGTATTTTAACTTTGGAATCAGAATTTTTAATTCAACCCTCAGGAAATGAGGTTCATCCATATGTCTTCAACAACAATCGATTTTACGCGTACTTTAAGGTACTAATTTGAACATATTTGAAGATGTTATTTTATCAAAGGATGAAAAATAATTTTGAGTTTTATGATGACTTGTTAATTTTATGTTTAGGATTATTTAGGCGCCATAGACGGTACTCATGTTCGTGTCAAGGTGTCAAGATTAGATGCTTCGAGATTTCGAGGAAGAAAAGATTGGCCAACTCAAAATGTGTCTGTAGCGTGTGATTTGATGTGAAATTCACATACATTCTAGCTGGGTGGGAAGGCACTACATCTGATTCAAGAATTTTAAAAAATGCTCTTGATCGAGATGATCCGTTGGTTATCCCTCAAGGTGAGTGTGTATATTTCGATGTTCAAGATTTTATTAATTAATGTCACTAAATACCTTTATGTGTACAACAATCTAGGAAAATACTACCTCGGTGACGCTGGATTTATGTTGAAAAGCACAGTTTTGACTTTATATAGAGGCGTCAGATATCACCTTAAAGAATATACACGTAGAGGACCACAGAATCCACACGAGTTGTTTAATCATCGACATTCATCGTTGAGATATGTTATTGAAAGAACTTTTGGTGTGATGAAAAAATGATTCCTTATCATTGCAAGTGGCATTGAACCACACTATGGATTGGAGACAATGATAGACATTATATTAGCTTGTTGTATCTTACACAACTTCCTTCGTGTCGTGGATAACGATGACTCATTACTTGATGAAGTTGATAATGAGTTGAATGAAAGGGAAGAGCATAATGTTTCATCAACTCAAGTTAGAGAAGAGGATCATAGGATTGGTAGTAGTATCAGGGATTCCATAGCAGATCAAATGTGGCGAGATTATCAAAACTCGTAGTTATTGTATTTTATTGTGTTGTATGACTATTTTATTTAAAAATGACAACAACTTTCTTTTATGGTTGTTTAATCTTAACTTCATACCATTTTATTTAGCAATTAGGTTTAAAATGAATAGAGGGAAAGGAGTTGTCATTGAGTCCTCTGGTCCTACTAGAGAGTTCATAAAGTGGACAGAGGACATGGATGCACGTCTTCTACACACCACGATTGAAGAATCACGGCTCGGAAATAGGGTTGAGGGAAGCTGGACATCCCAAGCTTATAGTAACATTGTTGATCGACAGAAAGTGTTGAAAGACAAATGGCGTGAGGTACATGACCTCTTTACTAGTTTGAGTGGATTTGGCTGAAACGTCGTTACTATGAGATTTGAATCTGAGGACGAAGTCTGGGAGGACCTCATTCAGGTAAACGTTAAATACTAAGATTTGGTGGATTCTTAAAATACATAATATGATCGACATTATGTGTAATGTATGTTGTTTTAGTCGATGCCAAGTGCGGCAAAGTGGAGAATTAAAAGTATCAGACACTACGATTTAATGGTCGAGTTATGGGCTACGGATCGAGCTACTAGGAGTGGTGTTCGAACCGCTCGTCAAGCACGTTGGTAGCGGGTTGGGCCTCGTGTATAGGTTGATCTGAATCAGAATATGGAGTACATTCCAGAGGACCCCATATATCCAGGGTTTACTGACCCAACTCCACCATCACCTCCTCCATTTGTGGATGAGTATAGTCCAGGGCAGACTCAATCTGTGCCTTCTGTCCCATATGGAGGACCTTCATCCTCACGGGGTTCTAAAAGGAAGGCACCTATGGTTGATGTATTTGATGCTCAATTTGATAAACTGACAACCAGCCTGGATGGTTTCACAAATGTCCTTGGATCTACAAATGTTCATTTTACTACGATTTCAAATGCAGTCGTGCGTCAAGTCGATGCAATGGAAAATAGAAATGAAATATTGTGTTCCCAAACCGAGATCCTACGTCGCATCCCGACATTCACATACACAGAGAGCGACATATATGAAATGTTGAGTGGTATGAATATTGCTGATGAAAACTTACTTGAGCAATGTTATGATCTCTTATGTGAAAACCCCACATGTACAAAAAGGTTGATGGGACTTCCACCACACAAGAGGTGGAATAAGCTATGTAAAGTGATCTCGGGTGGTGATTGTTAAAATGCCTTAATTGATTAGTTGTATTACTATGATGTTTGACATTAGTTTTCATACTTGTATTTATTGTTTAATTATTTGTTTCTTTAAAATTAATCAATCTCACTTCCATAACAAATAAATTCATACTACTTCATATAAAATTAATATTTTTAATTTTTTTGTGATACTTTTGATTTTGTGATACTTACTTTTGATTCTGTGATACTTTTATTTCTTTTGTTTTAATTCGTGTTTAGTGCATTTGTTAGCTATACATTCATCATATAAAGCAATGAGACATTTTTTAGCTTTGATCAAATGAGCTTAAAGCATTGATCGAAAGTTGTCCAGTTTAACAAATCTACATAAAAATGCATTTCTGGTTTAATATGATCCAATCTGTTTTTGTCCAGATTTCATGTTTCTCAACCTTTGTGCAAGTTTGTTTAAAGTTTTTAAACATGTTTCAAGGTGTAGCAACTCATACTAATCATAGAATTGCAAAATGAGTGGTTGAGTTCATCAAAATTTGGTTTCATAACACTGTCATTGTTTCACCAAAGTGTATGCACTGTGCTTAATGTTTTGGTTTGTTCTTAGGTCACTCAAACTCTGCTAGTTGATTCTCTGCAATTAGATCTAGTGTTTTAGGATATGTTAGAGTCATTGTGGTGCTGTATTCATGTGTAATTCCTCNAAATATAGATGGAAGAAAAAAATAGATTTATCATATTTGGACCGTGAAGATATAGATGATGATGTGGTTGGTGTAGACTTCAATATAGTCGCAACGGTATGTCAACAATTACAAATAACCACTTCACTGGCTGCACTAACAATGTTATGCATTGTTGGACATGCGTTGAGTATCTTAAATATGTACTCGATTGATTCGAGTAGTGTAAGCAATTTCCTACCAGACAGAGACCGTCGTAGGAAGCAATTGATGTCATACCTTGTGCATACTAATCGGTGTCGCGACATTATCAGGATGGGTCCAAAGGCATTTATTAATCTTTGTGAGAGACTAAGAACAACTGGGATAGTTAAGGAAGCCATTCGGTCGACAGTGGAGGAACAAGTTGCTCAATTTCTTCATATAATTGGCCATAATGTTAAGAATCGAAGTGTCGCATTTTTCTTTCATCGATCTGGGTCGACGGTTAGCAAACACTTTCACAATGTGTTGGATGGTATTTTAACTTTGGAATCAGAATTTTTAATTCAACCCTCAGGAAATGAGGTTCATCCATATGTCTTCAACAACAATCGATTTTACGCGTACTTTAAGGTACTAATTTGAACATATTTGAAGATGTTATTTTATCAAAGGATGAAAAATAATTTTGAGTTTTATGATGACTTGTTAATTTTATGTTTAGGATTATTTAGGCGCCATAGACGGTACTCATGTTCGTGTCAAGGTGTCAAGATTAGATGCTTCGAGATTTCGAGGAAGAAAAGATTGGCCAACTCAAAATGTGTCTGTAGCGTGTGATTTGATGTGAAATTCACATACATTCTAGCTGGGTGGGAAGGCACTACATCTGATTCAAGAATTTTAAAAAATGCTCTTGATCGAGATGATCCGTTGGTTATCCCTCAAGGTGAGTGTGTATATTTCGATGTTCAAGATTTTATTAATTAATGTCACTAAATACCTTTATGTGTACAACAATCTAGGAAAATACTACCTCGGTGACGCTGGATTTATGTTGAAAAGCACAGTTTTGACTTTATATAGAGGCGTCAGATATCACCTTAAAGAATATACACGTAGAGGACCACAGAATCCACACGAGTTGTTTAATCATCGACATTCATCGTTGAGATATGTTATTGAAAGAACTTTTGGTGTGATGAAAAAATGATTCCTTATCATTGCAAGTGGCATTGAACCACACTATGGATTGGAGACAATGATAGACATTATATTAGCTTGTTGTATCTTACACAACTTCCTTCGTGTCGTGGATAACGATGACTCATTACTTGATGAAGTTGATAATGAGTTGAATGAAAGGGAAGAGCATAATGTTTCATCAACTCAAGTTAGAGAAGAGGATCATAGGATTGGTAGTAGTATCAGGGATTCCATAGCAGATCAAATGTGGCGAGATTATCAAAACTCGTAGTTATTGTATTTTATTGTGTTGTATGACTATTTTATTTAAAAATGACAACAACTTTCTTTTATGGTTGTTTAATCTTAACTTCATACCATTTTATTTAGCAATTAGGTTTAAAATGAATAGAGGGAAAGGAGTTGTCATTGAGTCCTCTGGTCCTACTAGAGAGTTCATAAAGTGGACAGAGGACATGGATGCACGTCTTCTACACACCACGATTGAAGAATCACGGCTCGGAAATAGGGTTGAGGGAAGCTGGACATCCCAAGCTTATAGTAACATTGTTGATCGACAGAAAGTGTTGAAAGACAAATGGCGTGAGGTACATGACCTCTTTACTAGTTTGAGTGGATTTGGCTGAAACGTCGTTACTATGAGATTTGAATCTGAGGACGAAGTCTGGGAGGACCTCATTCAGGTAAACGTTAAATACTAAGATTTGGTGGATTCTTAAAATACATAATATGATCGACATTATGTGTAATGTATGTTGTTTTAGTCGATGCCAAGTGCGGCAAAGTGGAGAATTAAAAGTATCAGACACTACGATTTAATGGTCGAGTTATGGGCTACGGATCGAGCTACTAGGAGTGGTGTTCGAACCGCTCGTCAAGCACGTTGGTAGCGGGTTGGGCCTCGTGTATAGGTTGATCTGAATCAGAATATGGAGTACATTCCAGAGGACCCCATATATCCAGGGTTTACTGACCCAACTCCACCATCACCTCCTCCATTTGTGGATGAGTATAGTCCAGGGCAGACTCAATCTGTGCCTTCTGTCCCATATGGAGGACCTTCATCCTCACGGGGTTCTAAAAGGAAGGCACCTATGGTTGATGTATTTGATGCTCAATTTGATAAACTGACAACCAGCCTGGATGGTTTCACAAATGTCCTTGGATCTACAAATGTTCATTTTACTACGATTTCAAATGCAGTCGTGCGTCAAGTCGATGCAATGGAAAATAGAAATGAAATATTGTGTTCCCAAACCGAGATCCTACGTCGCATCCCGACATTCACATACACAGAGAGCGACATATATGAAATGTTGAGTGGTATGAATATTGCTGATGAAAACTTACTTGAGCAATGTTATGATCTCTTATGTGAAAACCCCACATGTACAAAAAGGTTGATGGGACTTCCACCACACAAGAGGTGGAATAAGCTATGTAAAGTGATCTCGGGTGGTGATTGTTAAAATGCCTTAATTGATTAGTTGTATTACTATGATGTTTGACATTAGTTTTCATACTTGTATTTATTGTTTAATTATTTGTTTCTTTAAAATTAATCAATCTCACTTCCATAACAAATAAATTCATACTACTTCATATAAAATTAATATTTTTAATTTTTTTGTGATACTTTTGATTTTGTGATACTTACTTTTGATTCTGTGATACTTTTATTTCTTTTGTTTTAATTCGTGTTTAGTGCATTTGTTAGCTATACATTCATCATATAAAGCAATGAGACATTTTTTAGCTTTGATCAAATGAGCTTAAAGCATTGATCGAAAGTTGTCCAGTTTAACAAATCTACATAAAAATGCATTTCTGGTTTAATATGATCCAATCTGTTTTTGTCCAGATTTCATGTTTCTCAACCTTTGTGCAAGTTTGTTTAAAGTTTTTAAACATGTTTCAAGGTGTAGCAACTCATACTAATCATAGAATTGCAAAATGAGTGGTTGAGTTCATCAAAATTTGGTTTCATAACACTGTCATTGTTTCACCAAAGTGTATGCACTGTGCTTAATGTTTTGGTTTGTTCTTAGGTCACTCAAACTCTGCTAGTNCATCATATAAAGCAATGAGACATTTTTTAGCTTTGATCAAATGAGCTTAAAGCATTGATCGAAAGTTGTCCAGTTTAACAAATCTACATAAAAATGCATTTCTGGTTTAATATGATCCAATCTGTTTTTGTCCAGATTTCATGTTTCTCAACCTTTGTGCAAGTTTGTTTAAAGTTTTTAAACATGTTTCAAGGTGTAGCAACTCATACTAATCATAGAATTGCAAAATGAGTGGTTGAGTTCATCAAAATTTGGTTTCATAACACTGTCATTGTTTCACCAAAGTGTATGCACTGTGCTTAATGTTTTGGTTTGTTCTTAGGTCACTCAAACTCTGCTAGTTGATTCTCTGCAATTAGATCTAGTGTTTTAGGATATGTTAGAGTCATTGTGGTGCTGTATTCATGTGTAATTCCTCTCAATTCTGAATTCTGGTGTAGTTTTGGTGAATTTTCATGCATATTTGGCTATAGCAAGTATGATTCGTTGAATCTTGTTGTGTTTGTGCCTATACAACATTTGAGCAAGTTTATTTTGTCATTTTAAAGTTGTTTGCACTGTTCAAATGGTCATTTTTAAGCCTATATGCAGAATCACCTTTTAAACCATCAAAATTGTGAATTAAATGGAAGTGAACCAATCATTTTGCATTGTGATATGTTTCTGAGTTGCGTAACAGTTTGCACATCTGTAAAATTATTTTACAAAGTTTTTTGATCACTCAATATAGTTGTTGCATCACTTCCTATAAATTTTGGGTTTATAACCCCCAATTTAGAAGCCTTTTCTAGTGATATCTTGGTGGAATATTTCTGCATTTTTGGCAATTGCTACTGTCATTTGATGAATCTGGTTGTTTCAATGCTTTCTTCACATTTGACCAAGTTTTTTTTACCATTCCAAACTTGTGTGCACTGTTCATTTGGTCAGTTTTGAGCCTATATTCAAAATCACCATCTAAACCATCAATTTTACCTAAATTTGGAAGTGGGCCAATGATTTTATTGTGCAACCTGTTTCTTTGTTGTTTAAGTGTTTGCACACCTTCAAATTGATGATATAAAGTTGCTTGAAGCATCACTTAAGCTGTTCAAACACTTCCATACATTTTTGGGTTTAAAAGCACCACTTTAAGTGTGATTTTCTAGTGCAGAATTCAATTTTGGTGCTGTTTGAAAATTTCCAATCTTTAAATTTCAGTTCTGGATTGGCAAGAGTTGGTTTCATGTCCACAAATGAAATGATATGATCAAAACAGTATAGAACATCCATAAAAAGCAAAATAAAACCAAGCAATCCAGTTTTGACCCCAAAAACCGAAAATCCAAAAATCTGCACTTCTTTGGGAACTTTCATCAAACACTTTGCAATTGTTATCAAACACTTTGCAATTTTTATCAAACACTTTACTGCACTTCGAATTTGACCTGCATTTTTTTATTTTCTTGATTGTTTAATATGTTCTAGTGCCTTTCCTAGGTTCCTTTTGAGTCCCACCTTTGATTCAACGCTCAAACTCACTTGAATTCAACTTGTTTGGCTTCCATTTGTGCATTCCAATCTGTTTTGACTGGAAAAAAAACTAGTGCAGTAACAGAATTTTGGTGTGACTGGTTTGATTTTGTGCATTGGTGTGACTGGTTTGATTTTGTGCATTGGTGTTGTGACATTTCTTGAAGTCTCCTAGTTGCAAGAACCCTTCTCCAACAGGGTAGCCTATAGGAAGTGGAGAAATTGTTGAATTGGCTTCAAGAGTTGATCTCCAAGCTGTCTTTTGCTTCCTGATCCAGCAACACTTCTTTGACCAGCACAAGATCTTTTTCCAATCAGTTTGGATCTGCACCAATTACAGCCATTGCAGTTTCACCTTTTCACTTGTATTAGGCATAGTTTCAAGTGTTTTTCATTAATTATATCACGAAACCTTTGAGGTTTAATATGCTTTTTAATTTGCAACTTAAGTGTCTTGGAAAAATGTTTTTCAAGCAATTCCAAGTGCACCATTGAACATTGTAATAGCTTAGTTTCCACTTCTTAGTGTGAAAGTGTGTCAAGGGGCT